TGAATGTTGGCCTGCCTTACTAGGTTGGGGAAGTTCTCCTGGCTGATATCCTGCAGAGTGTTTTCCAACTTCTTTCTATTTTCCCCATCACTGTCAGGCACACCAATCAGACGTAGATTTGGTCTTTTCACATAATCCCTTATTTCTTGGAGGCTTTGTTCATTTCTTTTTACTCTTTTTCTCTACACTTCTCTTCTCGCTTCATTTCATTCATTTGATCTTCAATCACTGATACTCTTTCTTCCAGTTGATCGAGTCGGTTACTGAAGCTTGTGCATTTGTCACGTAGTTCTCGTGTTATGGTTTTCATCTCTATCGTTCTTTTAAGGACTTCTCTACATTGGGTATTCTAGTTAGCCATTCGTCAAATCTTTTTTCAAGGTTTTTAGTTTATTTGTGCTGGTTACGTCGTTCCTCCTTTAGCTCTGAGAAGTTTGATCGATTGAAGCCTTCTTCTCTCGACTCGTCAAAGTCATTCTCCATCCAGCTTTGTTCCGTTGCTGGCGATGAGCTGTGTTCCTTTGGAGGGAGGAGATGCGCTCTGATTTTTTGAATTTCCAGCTTTTCTGCCCTGCTTTTTCCCCATCTTTGTGGTTTTATCTGCCTTTGGTCTTTGATGATGGTGATATACTGATGGGGTTTTGGTGTGGGTGTCCTTTCTGTTTGTTAGTTTTCCTTCTAACAGTCAGGACCCTCAGCTGCAGGTCTGTTGGAGTTTGCTTGAGGTCCACTCCAGGCTCTGTTTGCCTGGGTATCAGCAGCAGAGGCTGTAGAAGGTAGAATATTGCTGAACAGCGAGTGTTGCTGTCTGATTCTTGCTCTGGAAGCTTCGTCTCAGGGGTGTACTCAGCCGTGTGAGGTGTGAGGTGTCGGTCTGCACCTAGTGGGGGATGTCTCCCAGTTAGGCTACTCAGGGGTCAGGGACCCACTTGAGCAGGCAGTCTGTCCATTCTCAGATATCAACCTCCATGCTGGGAGATCCACTGCTCTCTTCAAAGCTGTTAGACAAGGACATTTACCTCTGCCGAGGTTTCTGCTGCTTTTTGTTTAGCTATGCCGTGTCCCCAGAGGTGGAGTCTACCAAGGTAGGCAGGCCTCCTTGAGCTGTGGTGGGCTCCACCCAATTCAATCTTCCCAGGTGGTTTGTTTACCTACTTAAGCCTCAGCATTGGCAGGCGCCCCTCCCCCAGGCTCGCTGCCACCTTGCAGTTAGTGCTAGCAATGAGGGAGGCTCCGTGGGTGTGGGACCCTCTGAGCCAGGTGTGGGATATAACCCCCTGTGTGCCGTTTGCTAAGACCCTTGGTAAAGTACAGTATTAGGGTGGGAGTTACCCGATTTTCCAGGTGTTGTGTGTCTCAATTTCCTTTGGCTAGGAAAAGGAATTCCCTTCCCCCTTGCACTTCCCAGGTGAGGCGATGCCTCGCCCTGCTTCAGCTCTCACTGGTTGGGCTGCACCCGCAGACCAGCGCCAACTGTCCGACATGCCCCAGTGAGATGAACCCGGTACCTCTGTTGAAAATGCAGAAATCACCTGTCTTCTGTGTCGCTCATGCTGGGAGCTGGAGGCTGGAGCTGTTCCTATTCAGCCATCTTGGGCGTGCCCCCATGAGGTATTATTATCACCTCAATTTTACAGATAAGAACTTGCTCAAGTTCTCACTAGAGCTAGTGCTGGAACCTAGACTCAGCTCAATAATTACAAAGTCCATGCTTTTAACCACCATGGTATTTCACACATTGCCATCCCATCATAGTACAGGACTTGTGACCTCATCATTATAACACAACTAGAACACTGAGCTCTTGTGCTTTCAGATATGTCTTGTGTGTAACAAAAAATAACAATAGAAGAGGATTATTTGAATTCCAACTCACTAATATTTCTTTTGAGTATATTACAGGCTTTTGGATAAGATAAGACACTCAACCTGAATTTCCATACAACCTGGCTGTAATTCAAGCTTCTAAAGGAGTAAATCAGGAAAAGTACTCTGTTAGGTGTGGAATCATTTTTCAAAACAATTATGAGGGTTGCATTGTAAATTCACCAACACACTCCTATTTCAGAAGTTTTTCTTTCTGTTTTTCATTAAATAAAGTAGGCAAAAGGCCCCTGCCATAAAGCATTAACCCATCTCTGTGGACTAAGATGGTCAGGATGGGGTTTAGGATGCATTTACTTATGGGTGACAGTTTTCCTTCCAATCTGGCTAACATCAGCTTAAGCTTCCTTAAGTCATTTCTTAGTCTTCCTAACTGGATCTAGAAGTTTGAGATAAGCATGATGAGCTGTTCTGTTCTAAAAAAAAATTAGGGAACAATGCACATCACTACAACTAGTTTATTTTATTAAGAAATAAATTGCAGCCAGGCACGGTGGCTCATGGCTATAATTGCAGCACTCTGGGAGGCCAAGGTAGGTGGATTGCTCGAGCTCAAGAGTTCGACACCAGCCTGGACAACATGGCGAAACCCTGTCTCTACCAAAAAAAAAAAAAAAACTGGGTGTGGTGGTGCACAACTGCAGTCTCATCTACCTGGAAGGCTGACCTCCCAAGCTTAGGTGATCCTGATGAGGCTGCGAGGAGCCATGATCTTGCTGCTGCACTCCAGCCTGGGTGACAGAGTGAGACCCTGTCTCAAAACCAAAAACAAAAAACCAAATTGCTTTCCAGGGTTCAAATGTAAACTATAGACAGGAGATTCCCATAACAACATATGAGGGCTTTAGGAAAAAACAAAACAAAAACAACCCTGGAAGATTTCAGGATAAATAGAAGATATGTTTTTCTATCAAACATACTTTCAAAAGTAGAAAATCATGGATTTAAAAAACTTTTTTTGTAGCGCTTGATATCTCTAAATGTATGAAGTTTCAAGTGTACTAACTTTATGAAGACTTGTCTCTGTTCTTAAATGCATAACATGATCTTAGATTTTTGAGATCTTTAAAAATGTTAAGCAACACAAAGATTTCTACCCCATCTCCCTCCACATCTTTAAAAACCAAAAATCACCACTACCAAAACTGCATTACTGTTTGTGAATGAAGAATTTTCATGACTTGAAAACCTTCCTAATATCCAGTCTTTAACACTAACTTTTTTAGAAAGGAGAGCTCTTGTTATGTTCTTTAACCTCTTTTCACTTCATAAAGTTCTTCATGGTTGACATCAGTATTATCCTCTTAAAAATTCAAATGTGAACTAACAGCACCATTTATTGAAGGCATATTATTTTAAAATTAGTGATTTATCCCAAGGACAAAATGTTAAGTGGAAAAGTCAGTACTCAGATTCAGGTGTGACTCCCAGGCCCAAGCATAGCCTTTCTGAATGAATTAAGAAGGTCACTATATTAATTTTCATAAGGTGAAAGAAAACAAGCATTATATATTTTTCCACATCACAAAATGGTGAAGACCTAAGAGACTCCAGTGGCTGGCTCTGAACCCTACAGCAAGACAGTGGCAGAGTTGGAATGGATTCCAGATGTCTTTGCTAACCATTAAGAAAGAGTTACTGAATAACGTTCCATTACTCTAAAAAGTTACTGTTCCCAAGTGTATTGAGAATTTGGAGATCTGAAGTAAGACAGAAATCTTTGTTTTCAGTTGTCTTTAAGCTTCTGCCAGTAACATGGTCCCAGTAGAAGAAAACATAAAACTGTAATCTTAATCAAAATTTGCAACATCAAATACTATTTCAATAGTTTCAAATACTATTTCAAATAATACTAAAAAATATTTTAAGTGAATAAAGACTAACAATCTTCAAAAGTTTTACAGTTTCCTATTTGTTTTATTTTGCCTACCATGCAAAACATTAAATTACTTTTATGTAAGAGCTGCTTATTCAAAACTTTGTTCTTACTCTGTTACTAGTTATATTAACAATATATCCCTTTTCTCCTTGGATCTTTGTAATAATGGAGTACAATTATATAACTTACATGCCATTTATAATTTACCCTGAAGAGTATTACCTAAAGCTCTTAGATTTAGTGAGGACATAAGTTTATCCTATTTTAAAGGGAGAAAATATGATATTGAGAAATCACACCAGTGTATCAGCAATAACTGAGGTTTCAGACCTCTGTGTTTTGCAGTTTTCACACTGACAAATTCTAGAGATGGATTAAAAAAAAAAAACTATTAAATCAATATGGTAAAGAAGCTACTAATAGCAGGAACAATCAGTCTCTGTGAGGAAATATTTTCCTTGTTAAACATCTGGCCAACATGCAAGAGCTTCTAGACTATTTAAAAAAATTTTTTATACAGAGCTACAGTTCTTAACTTTCTGCAGCCAAGCCACTTCAGCCCCTATGGCCAGCCTACTTTACCCAAGTCACTTGTCAACACGTATGTGTACATCCATGTGTGCAGAAGAACAGACAAATTCATATGTAGCTTTCAGATGAAAAGCATACCATTTTAAATGAAAGAGTTGGACTCAGAATAAGTTGGGTCAGAAGTTAAATGATAGAGACATATCATAAGTCTTGATACTTTAAGAGACTAAATAATCACTTTAGAGGACCTTCCTGTGTGATACTTTTATTTAAGAATCACACTTTGAAAACTGTTACTCTATACTGATTGCCTGAGAAGTTCCTTTTACAGGCTGGCAGAAAAGCTCCCAAAAGAGTGTATGGCAGCGTTTTTCCTTCAAAGATTATTCTATTTCAGAATAGATTAAACTAAAAAATTCACAGAGTAACATTTTAAAATTCCATAACAACAGTCAAAATACTCATTTTTGTTTGTACTACAAAGAGAAAGATAGTCTGCATGGCTATCTATCCCAAAAGTTGTAAAGATCATTGGTCTAGAGAGCCAGCAGACCAGTGCCTTTAAATCAGGTTCTATCTGAAGATATTTTCTTGAAATCACTATGTCAGTATAGATAATTTGACCATCTGTTTCCTGAGTGTTACATAAACCTTCCTTACATCATATGTCAAAATAAAACATTCCAGTTCACTAACCTTCACTAACCTTTATGGGATTTCAATTCCACTGTCCCCAGTTGACTGACATAAACATCTATAGCACCCTGATGAGCTAAGGCTTTTAGACATCCAGAAGATGAATCTAGGAAGAAGAAAAACCATAAGTAAAATCATTCTTACTTGATGAATGGAATTATAAACTTGAAACAAAAGGCTCTGCTTTAGCACTAGGATAAGGGGCTAAGAATCTTGCAAGGTTTAGTATTTCCTCATAACAATGCCATTGTTTGCACTTAAACGTAAACAGTATCAGAAATCTAGAAATCTATTAAACTAGACAACTAATTAAAAAATCTATATCTACATTAACCTGAATAACTTATCTCTAAACATTTACTCTAAAACGTAATGAATAGGAAGGAGAGTCTGCAAGTAATGGATCCTGAAACCACTAAGCACCATGGATATTTTTAGTTTTTTATCATCTTGATACATTTAGTAAACTTTCAATAATTACCAAAGAATTCTACCTCATGTATAGTCACATACAAGCAGTAGCAAGGCTAACAAAAATCAAAACCTCTTATAATTTCTCCTTGTAGCAGATTTGCTAATACTAAGAAGTACTCCTAATAGTAAAAGATTACTCTACATAAAGTTGTTGAATTTCTTTTTTTCTGTAGAGACAGGGTCTCGCTATGTTGCCCAGGCTGGTCTCTGACTCCTGGGATCAAGTGATACTCCTGGGATTACAGACACAAATCACTGTTCCTGGCTTGCTGCATTTCTTTAAGGGGCAGAAGGGCAGGGAATAATTTGAAGAATAGCTTGTTTATATCTAATAATTCTTTTCAAGTTTCTGGAATTGAACAGGTATCGTTAAGTGTGGATAAGAAAATAATAAAGGTAACCCTGATTTGACATTCAAATTTCCCTATGTTGTTGATGACTCCACTTTTCAATCAACCAGTATTTCAAGTTCAAGTGAAAACAGTCAGAAATAAGGAAGTAAGAAAATGAACTTGAAGAGTCAGTACTAAGTGGTTTTTCCTTCTTCTCTTTCTCCCATGGCAATTGAATCTTTAATTTAGTATTCTATCTGACTGCCTGGAGAAGGCCAAAGCATATTCTTTTTAGAGAAGCCTCTTAAAAAGCATATTTTATCAGGAGGTTTTATTACTTCAAAGTGGAAACAAAGTAGGGAGTGTGGTGAAAACTATGCCAAAAATATACTTTCTACAAAACAGAGAAAGAAAACATTTGTGTGTGTGTGTGTGTGTGTGTGTGTGTGTGTGTAGAGAGAGAGAGAGAGAGAGAGAAAGGAGCCAACATTTTTCTTTTAAAAAAATATTAACAGACTTCAAACAAAGACAATAAATTTGGAATAAACTGTGTAAAATCTGGCTCCCATATAATTTATAATAATTTATTTCCAATCTATAATGGAAAATGCCCTTTATCAGATTCAATTTATTTAGTTTTCAAGTGTCAAAAGTAAACACTGACGTTGGGAAATGAAACCACTAGAAATAAATGACACAGAATAGCTGGACAAAATGAACATTTCACTGCTTATGTACCAACAGAACTCCTTTTTAAACCTCTTACTGCATCCTAAAAGAAGCCAAGTAAAAATTACATTATGCTAAAAAAAAGAAAAGTGCAATACACAAGGTGTGTATTATTCCAGTTTGAACAAAGTAAAATAGCTGAAACATTAGTTTGATTTCTCGCTTTCTCAAGGAGGGGGAAAAAAAACACGAAATTTTTATGTGGCTCATAAACAATAGTTTCATTTATTTTTCCCTCCAAATGAGAAATAAATGACAGCTAAATAATTATATCCTAAGCCACAAAGTAATTATATTCTCATGTTATTTGTGTTGATCTCTAATAATGGCTTATCTTTTGGAGGCTGTCAAAAAATTAAAAAATGAAAACTCAAGATGTTTTCGAAAAAGAAGGCAACGGTGATACTTTAAAACTATGTAGCAAAACAAGCCCTATTTTTTTGTTTAACACAAATTATCACAACCAAAATTAATTATCAAGAGTAAAATTAAGACTTCATCCACAGAATTTCATTCTTTTGGAGTTTACATAATGGAGAAATTCTATAGATCTGGGAGAAAGTCCTGTAGATCTAATGTATAGCATGGTGACTGTAATTAATAATACTGTACTGTAAACTTGAAATCTGCTAAAAGAGTAAATCTTAAACAAATTTTCATCATACACATAAAATGGTAATGAGGTGAAGTGACAGATACGTTAACTAAACTGACTGTGGAAATCATTTCACAATATATATGTATATCAAATCATCATATTGCATGTACACCTTAAATATATATGGTTTTGTCAATTATGTCTCAATAAAAACAGTAAAAGCAAAAAAAAAAAAAAAAACACCAAACAAAAAACACAAAAGAAACCAAAATAAATCTACATTGTAATGTGTTTAGCTCAGTGCTTTGAACATGGGCACTGAATAAATGATAGATATTTTAAAGAAAGGGCCAGGTGTGGTGGCTTATGCCTGTAATTCCAGCACTTTGGGAGGCCGAGGCAGGAGAACTGCTTGAAGCCAGGCATTTGAGACCAGTATGGGCAACAAAGTGAGACCTTGTCTCTATTTTTTTAAATAATAAATAAGTAAATAAAATGTTAAAAGAAAAATCAGTCAGTATAGTTGGCCATATTAATAAACTAAAGGAAAAATGATCATTTCAATAAATTGAGGAAATGTATTTGACAAAATTCAACACTCAAGTCACAACCAAAGAAAGTAAAAAAAGAGAAACTTAATTTAAGCAAACAAGGAATAAAAGGTAACTCTCCCAATCTGATAAAAGGCATCTGTTAAAAATCTATAGCTAACATCACACTTAATGGTAAAATACTGAGTGCCTTCCCCCTAATACTGGGGACAAGGATAGGGATCAAGTGCAGGGAACCACACTCTCATCACTACAACTCAACGTTATACTGAAGTTCATAGCTAGTCGGATAAGGCCAGAAAAAAATTAAAGTAATAAAGATAGGAAAGAAAGAGGTAAAACTATATGTACAGATGAAAATGTCTGCTCAGCTAGGAAAGGATTCTAGATTCGAGAAAACCACTATTAGAAAGAATAAATTTAGCAAGGTCACAAAATACAAGGTCCATATATAAGAATTATTTATATATGGGCCGGGCGCGGTGGCTCACGCCTGTAATCCCAGCACTTTGGGAGGCTGAGGCGTGCGGATCACGAGGTCAGCAGATCGAGACCATCCTGGCTAACACGGTGAAACCCCGTCTCTACTAAAAATACAAAAAAAAAATCAGTCGGGCGTAGTGGCAGGCGCCTGTAGTCCCAGCTACTGGAGAGGCTGAGGCAGGAGAATGGCGTGAACCCGGGAGGCGGAGCTTGCAGTGAGCCGAGATCACGCCACTGCACTTCAGCCTGGGAGACAGAGCGACATTCCCGTCTCAAAAAAAAAAAAAAAAAAAAATCATTTGTATTTACATGTATCAGCAGTAGACAATTAGAAGCAAAGTCTTAAAAACTGTCTCATTTATAACAGTGTTAAAAACACAAATGAATTTAACTAAAAAAAGTGCCAGACTTCTACGTTGAAAATTACAAAGCAATGCTGAGAAAAATTAAGGAAGATTTAAATAAATAGAAATAGCTACCTACCATGTTCATTAATTGGAAGATTCAATGTGATTCAGTGCAATCCCAAACATAATCACAACTGTACTTTTTGGTAGAAATTGACTGGAAAATCAAAGGACCTATTATATCCAAAGCAATCTTTAAAAGGAACAAATTTGGAAGACTTCAACTACCTGATTTACAGACTTACCAAAGTTACAGTAATCATGATATTGTGGCACTGGTATACAGCTCAACAAACAAATCAATGAATTAGGAGCAAGAGATCAGACATTGAGCCACACTTATACGGTCATTTGATTTTAGACAAGGATACTAAAGTAATCCATCAGAGAAAGGAAGTTTTTTCAACAAATGGTGATATAAAAAATTTTTTTAACTGACAATAATAAATGTTGATGAGGATGTGGAGCAACTCAAATTCTCATACATTGTTGATGAGAATATAAAGTGGAACTTTGGGAAAAAGGTCTGGTAGTTTATCATAAAGTTAAACACAGAACCTACCTAGTCAACTCAGCAATTCCACACCTAAGTATTTACCCAAGAGGAAAAAAATATATAAATCTCTAAAATGACTTACATTAGTATATCCATAGCAGCTTTATTTACAGTTGCCAAAAAATTAGAAATAGCCCAGGTGTCCATCAACAGTAGAATGAACAAATTAAGCCTTCTAATAGCCTGCTTTCACTTCTGAACCCTTCTGGTACATTATGAAATAACAGCTAGGTTGTTCTTTTAAAATATAAATTATATATAACTTCCCTAACATCCTGTTATAGTTGGAATAAAGTCTGAACTCTTGCCCTGTCTCCAAGGTCCTAAGATCTAGCCTTACTTACCTCATATCCTACCACTTTCCCCATAAGCCAGCCTTCTATCCCCTGAAAATAATAAACTTCCATTTTCAAGGCCTGCACTTGCTGTTCCTCTATCTCGGGAGCCCTGTATCCAGAATTTTACATAACTCTTTGTCATTACTCTGGCTTTAGTTTAAATGTACCCTCTCCAGACCACCCCCAATTGCCTAACTGATGTAGCTTTCTTTTCCCCAATCTCTATTCAGTCACCCTTTCTTATTTCTTCATTGTACTTACCACAAACTAAAATTACCTTTTGTTATTTATATGCTTGTTGTCTTTCTTCCCAGGGCTCAGAGAAGTGAGGTCTCTGAACACAAAAACTATGTCCTGTTGACCAATATGTTCCCTAGTACCTAAAAGAATTCTTAATACATGGCAGATACTCAGTAAATACATGTTGACTAACTAGTTATTGGTATTCACAAGGTTGTCTTCAAATGTTAACACATTTGGAGACCAATAAACAGTGACATTATTTATATCTTTCTTTCAAAGACTTAATTTAGATATTTGAAGAATTCAAGAAATTTATAAGATCTTTCTTTTTTTTCAGAGAAGTTTAGCAAGAAATATAAGACATTTCTTAATACTAGCTCAGCCAATTTTTTTCGAGTGGACATAATTAGTACATTAGTTCTGCCTATATTTGACTTGTGATCCTGTCAAGTTCATCAGTTAAACTGTAGACTTCATTTATTCTAATAAAGTCATCACAAATATACCTATTTTTAAAAGTGGGCAAAATACATGAACTAGTAGCTTAGCACGTACCTACTGTGATGTTACCCATCTTGCTTTGTAATGTTATATTACCTGCAAAAAAAGAAAAAGATACTTTCATGTACTAGAGACAATCTAGAAAGGAACTGTGATACATAGCAATGCTAAAACATGGATGAATATCTACAATGTTATTTTTGTGGGCAATTTTTCCCAATATCACAAATCCAGTCAAAGATTTAGCTATAGTTCTGAAATAACTAGCCTTAGGTACCTCTGCAAACCTTCTTTCTCTACTACCAAACCTTAAGCTTTTATAGCATAATTACAAATCACCATACCTACTGGCACAGAGGAAAAACAATACTTCTAAAACCCATAAGTGAAAAAAAATTACTGAAACATAATCACTATACATTTTCAACCTAAATATCAATGTATTTATCAGATCACACAAAGCCAAGTTTTCAACCAAGTAACACTAAAATATGGTATGGAAAAAAAGAATTACGTTTATTTTTCAGGCCACTTGCCATGTCTATTAAAGTAGTTTCTGGGCCAAGAATTAAAGTGGTTTGAGATACAAATAATGAATACATGGAGGTATGACTAACAAAACAGAACAAAGAAGCTTCAAAGGTTTCCGTCTTAGTGAAAATATGTTTCCCATGATAGGTATGGAATATTGCAACCATTCTTCCCAGCCCCTTTCCCCTAATACCAAAAGTAGTAGGATTATTCTTCATATGTGTGTTTGTACATATAAGTATTCCTAAAATCAGGAACTCATATTTATTCTACTGAAAATATAAGCAATAATGTTATCTCTTCTAAAATAATTCCAAAACTACACTAAAAAGTAAAGGAATAACTTTGGCTTCAGAATTAATCTTCAGTAAACTCATTTTATCTCATTTCATATACCTTATGAATACTGACTTGTATCAGTATCTGGGAAAAAGCAAAAAAGGCACTGGATTCATTTACTCAATAGCCAGATGCACCTAATTGCAAAAATCCATCTAAAGGTCTAATATACCATCATATTTCCTGTGAGTGTATGAACAAGGAGTATATTTGTGTATGAATAAAAACTTGGTTTGTGTACTGAAGCTTATAGGATTACTATTTTTTTTTTTCATATTTTAGATTCAGGGATACACGTACAGGTTTTTTACCTGGGTATATTGTGTGATGCTGAAGTCTGGGGTACAAATGGTCCCATCACCCACGTACTAAGCATAGTACCCAATAGATTTTCAACCCTTGCCCCATCCCTCCATCCCCCATCTAGTAGACTCCAGTTTCTATTGTTGCCATCCTTATGTCCATGATTATCCAATATTTACCCCCCACTTATAAGACCATGTGGTATTTGGTTTTCTATTCCTGTGTTAATTCACTTAGGATAATGGCCTCCAACTGCATCCATGCTGCTGCAAAGGATATAATTTCATTCTTCTTTATGGCCACATAATATTCCATGGTGTATATGTACCACATTTTCTTTATCCAGTCTACCACTGATGGGCACATAGGTTGATTACATGTCTTTGCTATTGTGAATAGAGCTGCAGTGAACATGTTGAGTGCATGTGTCTTTTTGGAAGAATGATTTATTTTCTTTTGGATATATATCCAGTAATGGGATTGCTGGGTTGAATGGTAGTTCTGTTTTAATTTCTTTGAGAAATCTTCAAACTGCTTTGCACAGTGGCTGAACTAATTTACATTCCCACCAACAGTGTATGAGTTTTCACCTTTCTCCACAGCCTCGCCAGTGTCTGTTGTTTTTTGACTTATTTTTAGTAATAGCTGTTCTGACTGGTGTGAGATGATATCTCATTGTGGTATTGATTTGCATTTCTCTGATGACTAGTGATTTGGAGCAGATTTTCATGTTTGTTGGTTTCTTGTACGTCTTCTCTTGAGAAGTATCTGTTCCTGTTTTTTGCTCATTTTTAATAGGGTTATTAGTTTTTTGCTTATTGATTTAACTTCCTTGAAGATTCAAAGGAACAAAGGATATTAAACCTTTGTCAGATGCAGAGTTTGCAAATATTTTCTCCCATTCTGTAGGTTGTCTATTTACTCTGTCGATAATTTATTTTGCAGTGCAGAAGCTTTTTCATTTAATTAGATTCCACTTGCTTGGACATGGCCTATAAATGAATCTGAAGGGGTGACTCTAAAACCTTTTGTTAAGACCCCAGAAAGATGGTGGTACCTCATGGTATTAATCAGTTACACCAAAAAAAAAAAATTTAAAAAGATTAAGACCTCACAGATCCTCTTAATCAAATAGACCTAGAAAGCTTGAGGGCATTAACCTCAATATTGCTACAGAAACCCATATTTTGAAAAGATTTTTGGGTGTGGCTTTTGTCTAATGGAATGAAAGCCAGTGAGATTCACAGAAGACTGACAAAGTTTTTGAGACAATTATATCAGTAAATATTGCAATTTGGACTGAAGGGGACAGTGACAGTACAAAGTGAAGTGAGACCACTGGACCCTCAAAACTCTACTAGCAGGAAGCAGACTGAGAAAACTACTCAACTGTAAAGATGTGCTACATTTCACAAAAAAGGATGAATGACTTAGAGAGTGGAACCAAGAGCTCAGTGGTCGAAACCTAGAACCATGAAGAATTATTCCCAGGCCTTGAGATCTAATAAAAGAACCTCTAACATTTGCCCACCTGAAAAAATCACTATGGATCAGTGACTCCTTTGTGCCTCCCATTTCAACAAGAAAGTCCACAGTCATTATCCAATGCCTGTCCACTCTGTTTGGTGTGTAGGTGATATGTGTGTGTGTGTGTGTGTGTGTGTGTGTGTGTGTGTATGTTTGGGGGGTGGGTAGACAACTTGTCTCTTTAGTTCATCAGTCTTCAGATTCGCACCTGAGGAGCTTCATTTTCACCTGGAGCTGATTTTGATGCAGAGATTCTGGTCTTTCAGCTGATGCATGATGGGATGATACTTTTGGGAACCTTGGGAGGAAGAGAGTATATTTTGCATGTAGGAAGGACATGAATCATTGGAGGGCCAGAGGACACAGTGGCTATCCAAAACCTCATAGAATATCTGGAAAGATGCACACATGAAAAGTTAAAAATCAGTATATATTAATAATTTTAATATCCTAAGTGGACAGCATGACTCAGGTGCCACAGTACTTACAGGAAAGAGACTAAAATGACCTAGCTTGGACAGGGAGGTTTAGTCATATAGAAGGTATCATTTGAGCTGAAATTTGAAATGTGAGTAAAATGTTAATATGCTGAGAAAAAAAACATTTCCTGGGAAAATAAATCATATAAGCAAATGTAAAAAAGCAGAGCTATACATACTATGTTTAAATAATGCAGATCAGATAGGCTGGAGCAATGAGGCAAGTCTATGAGGACAGGAATCACATCTTTCTTATTTAGCTTCATATCTGGGAACTTAGCACAGTGCATAGTACATAGTAAACACAATTATTTTGTGAACAAATAAAAAGTTTGGAAAAGTAGGCAAAGAGCAACGTGTGGTAGAACCACAGAGTGCTAAGTCTACTGACTATCCTACACCAAAAATGTCAGTGAAGAATTTCAAGATGGATAAAAATATAAGAAAACCATGCTTTAAGGAGATTCCCCTAGTGTGAGACAGTGGGTGTTTCCATACTCAGCATTCTCTTTACTGCTTGTTGTGGTTTGAATGTTCCCCCAAAAGTTCATGTGTTGGAAACTTGGTCCCCAATGCAGCAATACTGTGAGGTGGGACCTTTGGGAGTTAATTGAGTCATAAGGGCTCTGCCCTCATGAATGAATTAACCCATTCATGAATCAATGGATTAATGGGTCATGGAGGGAGTAGGTTAGCTATCACAAGAGTGGGTCTGTTATAAGAGCCAGTGTGGGTGTCTCTCATGCAGCCTCTCTCTATGTGAAGCCTGAGCCATTTCATGACTCTGCAGAGCCCCTATCAGCAAGAAGGCTCTCACTAGATGCAGCTCCTAGACCTCAGACTTCTCAGCCTCCAGAACTGTAATATATAAACTTTAAAAATCACTCAGTCTCAGGTATTCTGTTATAGCAACAGAAAACAGACTAAGACACTGCTCTAACTCCTGAACAATAAAAGATGAAGCAGACAGGTCCCTGATATTTGTAACTTTATTAATAAAGAACTATGATAAAGTTTTACAGTCATTTAGCTAGTGAATCCAGTCACCTACTCATCAAGGCAATGGAGCTTTACTGTTTTACACTAGTCTTTAATAATGCAGTAAAAATTTACTATTTTTTTAAATAAAAGTATGGTCTTTTTTAAAAGGCCAATCATTAGTGCTTGTCACAAAAGTGAGGAGGTCTTGAGAAAATAATGATTCTTTGAACCAGAAAATAGAAGTTTTAGATCTATACGAAATGAGGGTTAGTTGATTATAGTGGGACCTATAGAGTCTCAGATAACATTCTTCATGAATGTTAGAGTCCTACTGTGTACTAAAAGCATAATGGAGCAACAACAACAAAAACCCAAGGAATTAAGGAATCATTTCAAATACTGTATGGTTATATACTATATAGTTATACACTTCAAAATATTTTTGTCAATTCTAAATAAAACAGTAAACAAAAACTTATTTTCAACTCATATCAAAATATTTAGAAAATCTCTACCTTAAACAGAAATATTCTAAAGTCATTAGAAAACACAAAATGGATGCCTTGCCTCAAATGCATAGTGGAATAAAGTATTATATTTAAAAGTATACAAAGCAACAAAATGGGCATTATTAGCAAAATTTTCTATATTTTGGTTTCACCTACTTCATATCACTGAAAATAATAAATTAATTATTTGAGAGGAGTAAATCTTAGTAAAAGTTTCTTTCCAATAAAGCAGACACCAGATGGTCTGTAATAACTATGTGTGCTTACCCTACTCTCAAGTTATATAACTTTTCCACAAATCCCAGTATTTGAGAAAATAGATAGTTTTTCTTAGCTTGTAACCTTTCATTCTAGCATGGTCAGAGGAAAAAAATACGTAATCAATTTAAAGATAAACATTGGTTTATTTTTCTTCACCAAAAGAAAT